TGTGACAAAAGGGGAACTGTCTTCTCAAGTTTGGGCACTCTTTCCTCCCAGAGTCACTCTTGGAGTCTTACTGGATGCAAGAGAACTCACAAGGTCTGAACCGCAAAGATGATAACTGCACCAGAGAGCTGTGTTTTGGCCTGGGTTGTCAGGGGAAACTTTGAAGCTGCATGCTAATAAGGGGAAGGGGAAGGTCTACCACCTGCAACTCAACTGCCAGGCGCCACCAGGGGAAACCAAAGTGTTGACTGTGTTTCTGTATCTCCATCATCCTCTGGTTCTCCGGGAGGCCTGTGTCAGTGTGACTATCCGAGGCTCTGCCAGACAAAAGCAGGATCTCATCCCCACCCTGGAATGTTTTCTTGAGATATATTCTCACCCTTGCAAGGGACTCCCCTAGACTTGAGGTTGTGACAAGGGTCAAGTTAGGGACACGTCAGAATGTGTTAGGGGGTCCAGCTTGACTACTGCCATTTTCTATTGTTGGGGTTGCCACAGAGATGGACAGGGCCAGACCCAGGATAATGTGGTAGGGATGTTCATGAGGGATGCGGGGTGAGTTCTGGTCTCCGCCAGGCAGGACTCAGCTCCCTGCCAAAACACACTGGGGAGATGCAGTGGTTGGGTCCTGCTGACCCTGTGGAGACTGGATGGAGCTGCAGCCCGGCCCTGCCCTTGCCACTGTGGGCATCTGAGGGTGAACTAGCCGAGGTGCTCTCTCTCTGACTCGTCAACACAGAGGTTCCTTAGGTTACTCAAGTGAGCCAGGCTGAGACCAACCGCCAGGTACGGACAGCAGCAGATTTTCTCCATGGTCTCCTATGGTTCCTAGGTTTTCCACCATGAGCATGCATGGCTTTGAGCTTTTCTAAAGTGAGGTGCCACCTTTCTTAGTTTGGGACAGTTTGAACAGGTCTTGCTTTCTAATGTGAAGACTTCTGAACTGCCAGGCACGCACTGCTGCTTACCTCCACAAGCCATGGCCCTTGGAAACCTGCCTGCTGAGCTGCCAGCTGTTAGATTCACCCACCACCAGGGGAGGAGTAACTCAGCCAAATATATGAAAACAACTTAGATGGCCTTTATTTCAGGGAACCACGGTCACGGGCTTCCCTTCCCCAGGCAGCAGAAAAACAGACGTGAAGGAGTGGGCTGCAGAGGAAGAAGAGCAGGGAAGGGACAGGAAAGGGGCTTTTCAAACTCTCCTTGACACGGAAGCCGAGATGGGGGTCACCTTGGCCCTTATTGGTGAGGGGCTATGGGTCTGTGCCCCTCATTGGTGTAATGGTGGTCTCACTGCCTGAGGGGCCGGCCAGAATTCTGCCATCTGTTCCAGATTTGGTTGGAGTCAAACTCCGCCCTTCTCCAGTTACCATGGTAATCATCACCAGCCCCATGGTCCTGGGGCTCCCCCCAGCACCTTGGCAGCCTGGGCACCACCTCTTCCCTATCCCATCCGGAAGGTCAGCTTGGCTCTGGAGCTCTCCTTTCTGTTTCAGGGTGACTGTTGGCAGCCCAGTGGTGTGCCATGTTTGTGCTGACTTCTTTGTATTCCTGTGGTGCACTGAGCGCCAGTGAGCAGGCATTACTCTCAGGTGATGGTAGTGCTCGCACACGACATGCTGCCAGCAGTGGTGGGAGGTCACTTTGGGTGGCAGTGGACAGGGAGGAACATCTCTAACAGCAGGAAGGCTGGTCTGGAACAAGGTCTGGACCTGTGTTGTGGCAGGAGGGCTGAGCCGAGTGAGTCCCGCCTCTGCCCCTCAGTGCTCGGCCTCTCCAGTGCTGCATGTGGACCATCCCTCACAGTCACGGGTCATGTTCTTGCTTTCCTTTTTCAGGATTCTTTTATCAAAAGTGATTTTTTTTCAAAGATTTATTTCTATTTAAAAGGCAGAGTTGCAGAGAGAAGACACACACCTACAGAGAGAGAGATCTTTCGTTTGCTGGTTCACTCCCCAAATGGCCAAAAGGGCTGGAGCTGAGGTGATTGGAACCCAGGAGTCTTTCTGAGCTTCCATTGTGGATACAGGGCCCAAGGATCCTTTCCCAGACCATAAACATGGAGTTGGATTGGAAATGGAGCAGCTGAGACTAGAAGTGGTACCCATATATGATGCCAACACTATAGGCACAGGGCTAGCCTTGTATACCGTGGCACTGCCCCCATTTTTTTGGATGGGCGAATGTAATTTTGTTTTAAAGATTTATTTTTTATTTTCATTATAAAGTCAGATATACAGAGAGGAGGAGAGACATAGAGGAAGATCTTCCGTCTGATGATTCACTCCCTAAGTGAGCACAACGGCCGGTGCTGTGCCGATCCGAAGCCAGGATCCCGGAGCTCTTTCAGGTCTCCCACACGGGTGCAGGGTCCCAAGGCTTTGGGCCTTCCTCGACTGCTTCCCCATGCCACTAGCAGGGAGCTGGATGGGAAATGGAGCTGCTAGGATTAGAACCGGTGCCCATATGGGATCCCCGTGCATTCAAGGTGAGGACTTTAGTCTCTAGGCTATAGCCGGGCCTGGTGAATGTAATTTTTTTTTTTTTTTAAAGATTTATTTTTATTATTTTTTCATTGGAAAGGCAGATATACAGAGAGGAGAGACAGAGAGGAAGATCTTCCGTCCGATGATTCACTCCCCAAGTAAGCGCAACGGGCCGATACTATGCCGATCCGAAGCCAGGAGCCTCTTCCGGGTCTCCCACGCGGGTGCAGGTTCCCAAAGCTTTGGGCCGTCCTCGACTGCTTTCCCGGGCCACAGGCAGGGAGCTGGAAGGGAAGCGGGGCTGCCGGGATTAGAACCGGCGCCCATATGGGATCCCGGGCGGCAAGGTGAGGACCTTTAACCACTTGCGCCACCGCGCCGGGCCCGAATGTAATTTTTTTTATTGGAAGACAAATCTGCAACTTGCTATGGATTTGAGGCAAATTGTGCCATAAGCAGATTTTCCTTCAGTGGCTAAACAAAGTTTAAAAAAAACAAGTTAACAATAAAAGAAAATGCTTCTGGAACAGGAACATAATGTAAGAGTACCTGCACAATACACCCGTTTTGCAACAGTGTAACTTGTAAATATATTCTGTTGACTGCCCATAGTCCACACAGTTACAACTCCACACTTCAACAATAAGCTAACAGTTCCTCAAGAAAACCACTTAATGCATAACTCAGATGTTCCCTCATTTGATCAACTCCATCAAAGTTCAGATGTGCAGAAGGGCTTAGATATATCCAGAGTAAGCCACATGCAACACGATTAATGTCTTTATTTTTTTATTGGAAAGTCAGATATACAGGGAGGAGAAACAGAGAGGAAGATCTTCTGTTGGCTGGTTCATTCCCCAAGTGGCTGTAATGGCCAGGGCTGAGCTGATCTGAAGCCAGGAGCTTCTTCCAGGTCTCCCACACGGGTGCAGGGTCCTGAGGCTCTGGGCTGTCCTCAACTGCTTTCCCAGGCCACAAGCAGGGAGCTGGATGGGAAGTGGGGCTGCTGGGACACAAAGCAATGCCCATATGGGATCCTGGCATGTGCAAGGCGAGGACTTTAGCCACTAGGCTATTGTGCTGGGCCCAACATGATCAATTTCTAAAATAAGGTTTCAGGACAATGACAGCAAGATAAGGAAAGAAAACATGGAGGAATGAAGTCCTAATCAGTATAATGCATACATTTTTTGACAGCATGGGGAAACCTTTTACAGATAAGTTACAAAGAAAAGGCAAATAAACAATTTTGTACAAGACATTTAACACCTGTTCAGTGCCTTTACTTTGCTGTTATCATTTGTACAAACTTCCTTGTTTACACGAGCATCACCATTGCTATCTGCTTCCCTGGTAATTTCATCAACCTCCTCATTTGCCAACTTCTCTCCCAAGTTTGTCCTCACATGGCAAAGCTCTGTAGCACTAATAAAGCCATTATTGCCCTTAGCTGCTCTGATTCCTTCCTCACTGTCTGTGTCTTTCACTTTTCTTGCCATCATTGTCAGAAATCCAGGAAAGTCAACTGCCATTACCAAGAGCATCCACTTCATTAACCACGTCCTGCAACTCTGCTTCTGCGGGGTTCTGCCCAAGGGACCCCATACCAGTTGCTTTGTTAGGATGCCATCCCAATCCTTGACAAAAAGTGAAAAAGCTCCTATGAATTCTGCAATCTGCTCTTCAGTCAGCTGGTCAACCATGCTGCAAGCCATCCTGGTTCCCTCACCTCCCTCTGATCATTAAGAATATCCAGGCCCAAAATAATGACAAAGATTGCTTCTATAACCACTGTGCAATGGCCTTGCCAGATATCAACAAGGTCCTGCTGGCTTTTTAAATGCGGATGCTCCCCTTGGGAACAGGCATGTGGGAGAAGGGGCTACCCCCAGGGGCAGGCGTGTGAGGTATGGGGCTGCTCCTGGGAACAGGCATGTGGGGGGGTGCGGCTACTTGTGGGGACGGATGAGGGGGACAGGGCTGTCCCTGCGAACATCATGTGGGGAATGAGGCTGCTGCATGTGGGGGACAGGGCTATTCCTGGGGACAGGTGTGTGAGGGAATGGGCTGCTCCTAGGGACAGGTGTGTAGGGGACGGACTCCCACTAGGGACACGTATATGATGGAAAATCCTTGAACAGCTCTGACCGGGAGGAACTGGATCCCTGTCCTTTGGTGGACTCCCCACACAGGTCTCCAGGAAATCCAAGGCTGGCTGCATTGTTCATGGGAACAGCTAAGCCAGGAGCAGATGGCCTAGCTGGGCACTTGTCCCTCCCACCAAGGCCACCAGCCATGGCTGTGCCATGCCCTGTGGAGCCGGCAGAGCACAAGACAGATGTGAATCAAGTGACAGAAGGAAATTTCCAGCAAATAAATTTGAAAGAGAAACTTAGAATCAAAATAAGTTCTAAAAACATTCTAATATTTAAGCAGTTCTACAAAAGCAGTAATACACTATTTAAAAAGTGGACTTTGTGTACAAAACATTAATATGAATTTATTTCAGCAAAACACAGCAGTTTTAACACCCAAAACCAGAGCTGACACGCATGTCTTACTGTGCTAAGGTGGGGCCTGTCATGATGCTGTGGAAACATCAGTGGCAATGAGCTCTCCTGGCCTCAAGGATATAGCACATTCTGCATACACACCCACTCGTTGACCGTCCTGAGGCATGGCAACACGGTACCCAGGACATCTGCACACTCGACACCGGCACAAAGCAGCTTTGGCTTCTGGTTTGACAAATGTCTGATCTGAAAATGCCACGATTTCTCGTGGACTTTGGGCAGAATCATGCTTCTCTCTTGTCCATAATACCTATATTAAGCTTCATTAACAAAAACCGATCTTGTTATCTAGCATTCCGTTGCTTCTTTCCAGAGACAAATGGAATCAGGATGAGTCCTGATGAGTGAAAGTGACGGGTTGGTGGTCTTGTGGTGTGTAATCGTAAACACCACCTGCCAGTCCAACCTCTACAGGGGAGGGCAGGTTCCGGAGGTGTGGGGGTGGGCAGTGGTGGTAGCAAGGCCATGACCCTGAAGGGACACTGGGCAGCAAAGCCATGTCTCTCCAAGGTGTGTTGCTCCACTGAAGCTGCCAGTAGGATCCTAGCTTACACGTATGCCGAAAGCTTCTTTCTCTCTTCAAATTGCTTGTCCACTGCTAGAGACAGAGCCTGCAGGAAGCCCTCGATGGTGACAGTAGGGGCCTGTAGAGCACATGCCATCACTAGGGGTGCCCGGCTCATGGCATGACTGTGTAGCAGTGGACAGCACCAGGAGGCCCTACGAGCCTGATGCAGCTCCACCCACACAGGCACAGATGTGTCCTGTGCTTCACAGAAGGCAAAACTACCACCCAAGGGATGGACTCTATCAGCTCTGCAGACAGAAGGTGACCAGTTGTCTGAGGGATGGGCTCCCTGACCCCTGCTGAGAGGGAGCATGTGAGTGGGGGAAGACATGCCGAGGACAGACTCAGACCTCTCAATCAGCCCACCCAGTCTTCCCAATGACCCACCCCAGGTTCTGCATCCCCACAACTTCCACTCAGTCCCAGCACCCGCGTCACCAGCGTTGTACAGCACAGCCTATCACTGTGGGAACAAACTATGCAAGATGCATTTTGTCTCTCATAGACCCCCCACCCAGCTCCCGGGGACCATCAGGCAGGGTAAGGAGCAGGAGAGGATATGATCCCAGACTGTGTCCTTGTAGCCATATCTGCTGAAGAGGCTGCAGAGAAGCCACAGTGGACACAGCCTGGTTCTGCTATCCAACGACCCCAAGAGCCACATCCCCAGCAGGGCCCATGGCAATACAAGTGCCCAGACTCAATGCAAGGACAAGATCTGTGGCTTGGGGGTGAGGGTGGGAACCGCAGGCCAGCAGCCAGGCTGGACTCACCTGGACGTACAGTGCATGAGCCAGGAAGGGCAGCTTCCTCAGGACCCGGCCACTGAGGCCCTCGCTCTTTCTGGATGAGACAGCAGGACGGGGACATCAGCTTCGGAAATGCCCCTCGGCACCCAGCCCCACCTGGCCCACAGCTTCTCCCTCCCTTGCAGCGCCTGCTGTTTCCTCCTCTTTGTCCTCTGACCCCAGCACATCACCTGGCCTCAGTGACTGTTTGGGATACCCACATGGGACCTGCTCTACCCCAGAACTGGCCCTGTGGGCATTTGGGGTGCGGTCAACAAGAAGATGGGAGCTGGCTCACCTGCTTTCTCAAAGATTTTTTAAAAAAGAGGAAAATGTACTTAATTCTTAGTATATGTGCTTCTGAAGAGAGCACAAAAACATATTTAATTCTTTATGTCATCCCTTCCTTCAGAACACACACATTTCTGAACAGGTTCAGGGCTCTGCCCTCTGCTGCATTTGACACATGTGGTAAGCCCTCTGTCATGTGTCCTGCAGTACCCACCTCCAGCTGAGCCACACGTGGTGAGGCCTGTGTCACGTGCCCTACGGTGTCCACCTCCAGATGAGCTCTCTGCCAGTCTAACCCAACTTTTGTCATGGCTCTACCTTCCTTGAATGGCTAGGTTGTATCTCTTGCTTTCACAGAAGGCCCAGCATGCTTGTCACCTGTCCTGGGGGAGGCATGTGTACATGTGTGCTCAGCTCTCTGCTGTATCCACAGCCCTGCCTGTCCTCAGTGAAGGACACCGCCGCTCACAAAAATGAGGCTCTGGGTACCTTGAAATTTCACTCAGAAGCAGGCTGAGCTTGGACACGTTGTTTTCAATGAAGCCGATCATCTCCAGCTCTCGGAGCGTCAGGAGCTGCTGGCGCGGGTATATGATCTGACACTGGGGAGACACAGGGTGGCAGTCAGAACGGGTCAGGTGACAGGGCTTGTCAGCAAAAGGGACACACAGTACACAGTTTGGGCACGGACCATCTTACACGCAGACACAAGGCAAGCCACATGCTTAGCTGTTCTCTGCTACATGCTGGTATTCACACACGCCATCCCAGCATGCTGTGCACACACACACCAGGCAGGCCACACACACAGCCACCCTTGGATGGGCAACCCAGCCCAGTGTTGACCCTTGGAAGGCCTCAGTGGAACCACAGATACTGTCCCAGCATGATGACCCCGTGATCATGCCCCGTGGGATCAGGCAGAGCCATGGAGGGGACAAAGCCATCTTAGCAGCCACTGCGTTTACTATGACACTGGAGGGCTTGGACACTGCCCAAGTCCCCGTGACACCAGGTTCAACAGCTCAACACTTGTAGTGGTTGGTCTTCAGCAAGGAGTACATGGTGGGTCTGGCCCCGTGGGTATTAGCTGCTTACAGTACCATGAACAGGAGTCGGGAACACCTTGCCTGGCAGATGGCTCTGGACCGCGCTGGCCAGGGAGCTGTCACCTTCAGACAACAGTCTGATGGTCATGGCCATGACACTAAGCTAGAGGACAGGCCCATGAACTATAGCCTTCCATTGAGGACAGCCTGGGTGGGCTGGATCCCAGCTCGGAACCCCGAGACAACAGTGGATATTTCCTGGGAGCCAGGTCTCCACTGCTTCCTCCCTCAGGAAATCTAGCTAGAGTGGACAGTCATTCCCAAAGGCCATGCTCAGTCAGGAACATGATCTCCCTGGCAGGTGAAATGTCCATGATCCACTCACCTTCCTTACCTCCCACACCTCTCACACCTCGGGGTCTCTAGTAAGGATGCAAGAGCCAAGATAACAAGCCAGTGGGGTCAAGGTCAGCTTTCAGCTCAGCCTATACTTTTCAGGAAACTGGGCCAATGCCCAGACTATGACCCGATGAGCTTATTCTAACTTTCATGCCAAAGAGCCACAGTGAGGAAGGTACCTTCATAAGCTCTTCCAAGCAGGAGAGGTAGATTTTAAAGATGGCAGCTGCCGAGGGGGGCCCGATGTACTGCTTGATGTCGGCCCTGTCCACAAAGGCCACGTCGATCTTCTCAGTGATGTTGGAAGTGGTCAGGATCACCACGTTGGAGTGCCTGTGGGACCAGGAAGCAAGCCCCCCATCACCCAGTGCCTCTATGACGAGTGGGGTAGCAGGAGGCAGCCCATGTCACCAAGCCAGCCACCATGTCCTGATGTGGGCCTACAGGTAGTGGCCTCTGAATTCCCACTGACCCTCCTAATTCAACATGACTGGCCCAAGCAGGCTCTTCTCAGGTCTGGGCTGCTCTGCTGCTTTCTCAGCTCATATTTGCTGTGTGCCTCTCTCTCCAGTGCCTGGTCTGTTCACTATGCCTGGACCCATGGGAGCAGTACAGAGTAGGAGTAGGGCTCTAGCTGGGTGCAGCAATGCCAGCTGGCAGGGCCTGGGTGGAGGCACAGCTCTGTAGCCGGGAGCTCCATGTAGAATCAGCTGCCACTAAACTCTGGCAAATGCCAGGAGCCCCTTTGTGGAACAGGGGTGAGCCACACAGGTGGTAGTGGCAGGTGAGTCTGGGGCTCTTGGCAGGGGCAGCAGAGTTGGCAGTTCAGTGAGCTACAGGCTCCTAGTCCAGGAGAGGGTGGCAGGGGGAGGTAGGTCAGTGAGCTACAGGCTCTTAGTCCAGGAGAGGGTGGCGGGGGAGGCAGGTCAGTGAGCTACAGGCTCTTAGTCCAGGAGAGGGTGGCGGGGGAGGCAGGTCAGTGAGCTACAGGCTCTTAGTCCAGGAGAGGGTGGCAGGGGGAGGCGGGTAGGTGAGCTACAGGCTCTTAGTCCAGGAGAGGGTGGCAGGGGGAGGCGGGTAGGTGAGCTACAGGCTCTTAGTCCAGCACTGACACATGGGGAGGGGGAAGGGGTAGCACAGGGCAGCAGAGCTGGGACCCACGACCCAGGGGCTGACTTTGTGAGTCACTCCATATGGTACAGGCTGGACAGGCCAGTGGGGAAGGCAGGTCGTCCTGTGCCTGGACATGGGAGGCAGAAAAGGTGAGAGAGGCAGCTGCCCCTCCCTGCTCGTATCAACCCACATCAGCCTCATGAGAAGGAGGAAGTCAGTGTCCATCCTGTGACATAACAGCTGGTGGGTGGTGAGGCAATGGGAGGGGACAGGGAACCTGCAAAACAAGCAGCCCAGTACATCCTGCGTGCAGTCACAGATGCATGTGTACGCCTGTGATGGGGACCCCCACAACCACAGCAAGCAGTGCCACAAGGAAGGGCACACAGAGAGGCCAGGGGCAAGGTGGGGGACAGGGCTGGGGTGACATTCTATGGAAAGTTCCACGCAGACCAACCTGAGCGCTCATGCAAAGCAGGGGGTAGGGAAAGCAACAGAAGCTAGGAAGGAGGCTGGCACAGTGGGTAAAGTTGCTGTTTGTGGCCCTACTGTCCCACATGAGTGTTGGTTTGTGTCCTTGTTGGTCTACTTCTCATCCAACTCCCTAGTTATGGCCTGAAAAAGCAGTGGAGGATGGCCAGGTCCCTGGGCCTCTGCACTCACGTGGAAAACCTAGAAGTTCCTGGTTTCTGGCTTCAACTTGGCCATTTGGGAGTGAACCAGCAGCTGGAAGATCTTTCTAACTCTTAAAGGGATGGGAGGTAAAACCCAGGCCTGTCACCTCTCATGTCATTTAGAAGTTCTCTTTCACCCACACATGAAGACCTGCACGTCAGCGTTACCTTTTAATCTGATCAATCTGGGTTAGGACAGCGTTGACCACGCGGATGGCATCTGAGGGCTCAGTACCTGCCCTACAGGCATTGCGGGCAGCGGTAAGGCTCTCCACCTGCGGGATAGTCATGGCCAGGGAGGACAGCATCAGGCCCCATGGACAGTGAGTGAGCCCTCTGGGCAGTGAGTGGAGCTCCCGTGGGCAGTGAGTGACCCCCCTATGGGGAGTGACCCCCTCATAGGCAGTGAGTGATGCCACTGTGGGCAGTAACACCCTCATGGGCTGTGATCTCCACTGTGGGCAGTGAGCGACCCTCGCCCATGAGCAGTGAGTCACCCCCAACCATGGGCAGTGACTCTGCTGTGCGCAGTGACCCACCATGGGCAGCAACCCCCCCATGAGTAGTGAATGAAGACTGCAAACCTGTCACCCAGAGTTCAATGCCAGGAGACACTGGGGGAAACCAAATGGATGTGTCAGCAGGCACCAGGCATGCCCAGAAAGCATGAGGGGTTGGTTCTGCAGTGTCACTAACAGGAGGTGGCTCAGCCAGCACCCACCTCATCAATCAGCACGAACACCAGAGCTTCTTTGTCATCAATCAAGTCCTGGATCTTCTGGAACATCCTTGTGACCAGTTTGCCACTCTGGAATGACCCATCAGCATAGACTCACAATAAACACATGCATCCCGAGTCCCCAAGCCCACCGTCTGATGGGGACACCCCAGACCTGAGGAGGGGGTGGGAGAGCCCAGAGGCCAGTTCCAACTCCCCTCTTCACTTCATTAGCCAGTCCTAGGATTGGGCCAGTGCCTACCCTCCTCAAATCCACCCTGTGGCTGACCTCATTGACTAGCACAAGATGAGTCACAGTGCAAAATGGCAGCGTGCCGTCCTCCCACGGCTCCTGTCCATACTCATCAATGGACTGATGGACACCCATGGTGTGAACTGGCCACGTGTCGGCCTCCCAGGGCTCCTGTCCACATGTGCTTGTGCACACTCACTAGTAGGCTCACAGATGTCAGGTCCTGGGCAGATTCCTTTGGAGGCAAGGGGCACTGCGATGAAACCCTGTCCCATGCCCTCAGTCTCCTGAGCACAGTAGCGTGGACGTGTGGAGGCTAAGGGTTGCAGTGTCTTGGTCTGCCGAGGATGAGGGATAGGACCTAGGGAGGCTGCACTCAGGCCCAGTCAGGAGTCCCTCAGTAACTCACAGGTAGCTCCATCTTCCTCTCCTGCAGCTTCTGGGAAGTGTCTGCCCGCCTGACACATGTATTTGTCCGTCTGACACACATCTGACATGCATGTGTATCCACCTGACATGCATGTTTGTCTGTCTTACACGCATGTTTGTCCGTCTTATATGTACCGGCATCTGTCTGTCTTACACATACCACATTTTTCTGTCTGACAATCATGTTTTCAACTACATAGCTGGCAATTGAGATGATCAGAATTAACATTTAATACTTACTTCAGAAAACCACTTGGAAAAGAGGCTGTGGCTATTTATTTCAATTAACTGACCATACCGGTACCTAGAAAACAAAACAAGCCAAGAAAATTACTTCACAACCATTGCTGTGCATCCCAAGAGGCAGCCCCTGAGCTGCTTGAATACAGCACTGTTTGACCACCAGAACACTCAAGATCACCCAGCAGGCTGACGACTGCTCAGTACACTGGCCAGCACCCAGCACACTGGTATCACAATACACTAACCACTGCCCAGCACGCTGACAACCACACAGCATGCTGACCGCTGACCACCACTCAGCATGCTGACCACCACACAGCACGCTTGCACCACAATGTACTGAACACTGCCCAGCATCATGACCACCATGCAGCACACTGGTACCACAGCACACTGACCACAATGTAGCATGCTAACCACCACACAGCACAGTAACAACTGCCTAGCACACTAGCAACTGACCAGTACACTGATGACCACGCAACACACCAAATTGCCCAGCACACTGACCATTGCCCAGCACGCTGACCACCACCCAGCACAGACAATCACTGCCCAGCATGCTGGAACCATAGTCACTGATGGCCAAGGGACCTCACACATTAGCTCTATAATGGTGAAAAGCTAACAGGACACAATAAAATAGGCCCAGATCATAGCAGACTAAGTTCTTCCATAATCGTACTTGAATTAGAGTAAAAACCTCCATTTTAACCTGCTTTTATTTTCTATTTCCACATTTACCAATCATTACAGGACTAACACAGCAAGCAAAACAAAATGCAGGAATGGACAAGACCCTGAAGCATACATGTCCAGCCCAGAGCCTGGGGCCTGGGACGCTCAGGACTTGGCATACGACTTCGGTCCAGCGCAGGCAGTGGGTTGCTCACTTCAGGCCAAAGTCAAACAGCAATGAGGCACTAGCAGGGAGACTGAGTCTGCCAGAGGGCTTCCTACACACCCAGACACCCCATGTACAAAGGAGACAAAGACCGCCTGCCAACCCACTGAGCCAGGGCAGGGGCAGGAAGACAACCTGAACAAGGGTTGATAGTCAAGGTGGTGCCCTAACAGGAAGAATTGGTTCCTGTATTGGAGATAATTCTCTCTCTCAAAAGGCCATCTCTCCCATTACAGGTTTAGGAATTGCCTTTGGACATCTTTAAAACAGATTCGTTTTGTCAAGATAAGGGCTACTAACTGAAGGACTGGAAACCAGCAGTGCCCTGTGTAAAACCAGATAGAGTCCAAGGAAGGGAAGGGACACAGAGCTACTGGAACGGCATGTATCAGACTGGCTTTCTATCTCTAACAGGGAAATAGCCCTTAGTGAGCTGGTGGACAGCATGGCAGATGGGGACCATGAGTTGTAGAAGTGAGGGGAGGCCTGCAGCCTTGGGGTGGCTGGAGATGCTGGAGCAGTCTGAGAGGGGAAGAACACACAGAGCCCATGTTGGCGACTGCATTAGGAGTGGGCACCCGGGAAGAGCTCAGCTGTGGGCTCATGGCCGAGGGCACCCAGACACTTTGCTAAACAAACCTTGAGAAGGCCCACCACATGGCAGGACTGAAGCACAACCAGAACCAACTGTCTAAGGCACATGAGAAAGCTCGAACTACAAGGCTCAGCATCCAGGCATGCGGAAATATGAGGGTAGATACCAGGGTCCGGCAGCCCACCAGAGACTCAGAAAGCCAACAAAGTAGCTGGCTGATGGGAATGGCAGAGCAGCTGCTCCCAAGGCACACAAGGAAGGACCGTGCACCAGCAATCTTGAGACCTCCTGGGGCAGAACTCAGCAGACCCTGCAGATAATAACCCTACCCAGCGGGGAACACAGCGACCTGGCCATGGGATGGTACCAGGCAGTCCAACCTGGAGACAGATGCTCTGGGAAAAGGAAGAACAAGGAGATGAGTCATAGGGACAACGACCAACAACGTTCCAAACGTGATGCAAACTAAACCCCAAGAGACAGACGACCCTGGGACAGACCTCACTGGCCCAGAGCCAGCAGGGAAGCTGGGCATCTTCTCAAGTATGCACAGACCATTCTCTGGGCCGGACTACATGGGGCGAGAAGATGAGTCCCAAAGCAGCTTAGGACGACACTATATGCCGAGCTTCAGGCTGACCCAGATGGGTGGGAGCCCTGTATCCATGGAAGATGGTTTTAAGTGGTTTTCTGCACTACAAGTCCCATCCCTGCAGCAGCACATGGCAAGTCACCTGCTTGACAGTCGAATGGTCAATTTCTGGGCTAAGGCTTTGCACAAGGAGGTTTTTCCAGTTCCCGGAGGGCCTGCAATGAGACGCAGTGAACATGTTTCCAAGTCAGCACGGCAGCAATTTCCTAACATGTTTGCATTATCTGCCAAATATAAATGACAGCCTGCTCATCCACAGTCTGTTGGCAGCTGGAGCCATCAGGGACATACGTCAGGTCCTCTCCTCCTCCAACAAGCCTGGGCTCCACTTGGCTTGCTTCTGGTCTTGGCCCTGGCACAGCACAGCTGCTCCCAGCCCTGTTCAGTGCTCACTGATGACTCAGGAGAGTTCCTCCTGGACTTGTCCCTGTCCCATGTCCTACAGAAGGGCAATGCCCATAGAACTGACGTGACCATGGGAAAGTGAGTGCAACTTAGCAGAAAACATAAGACAGGTTCAACTCTGATTTTCTGCAAGTGTTTCCAATAGTTGAAGAAGGAACATGTAACTGATTCTAAATACAAACTTGTTATTTTAAAAATTCATGAAGTGGGGCCCGGCACAATGGCGTAGTGGTTAAGGTCCTCGCTTTGCACGCCCGGGATCCCATATGGGCGCTGGTTCTAATCCCTGCAGACCCACTTCCCATCCAGCTCCCTGCCTGTGGCCCGGGAAAGCAGTCGAGGACAGCCCAAAGCTTTGGAACCCTGCACCCGCGTGGGAGGCCCGGAGGAGGCTTCTGGCTTCGGGATCAGCATAGCATTGGCTGTTGCGCTCACTTGGGGAGTGACTCATTGGATGGAAGATTTTCCTCTCTGTCTCTCCTCTCTGTATACCCACCTTTCCAATAAAAATAAAATCAATCTAAAAAAAAAAAATTCATGAGGGGCCTGAGTTGTGGCATTAGCAAGCCAAGCTGCCACCTACATTGCTGGCATCCCATCTGGGAACTGGTTCACGTCCCAGCTGCTTCACTTTTGATCCAGTCCCTCCTACTGGCCTCAGACAGGCACAGATGGAGGCCTAAATGTCCATGGGCCTGCCATCCACATGGGATACCTGCACGAAGCTCCTGGCTCCTGGCTTCATCCTTACCCAGTCCCAGCCATTGCAGCCACTTAGGGAGTGAGCCAGTGGATGGAAAATCTCCCTCTTTCAAAATAAATAAGTATTAAAATTTAAAAATTAATTATCTATTTCTATTAGAAAGTCAGATACACAGAGAGGAGGAGAGACAGAGAGGAATATCTTCCATCCGATGATTCACTCCCCAAGTGACCACAACGGCCAGTGCTGATCCGAAGCCAGGAGCCAGGAGCTTCTTCCAGGTCTCCCACGCGCTTGCAGGGTCCCAAGGCTTTGAGCCTTCCTCGACTGCTTTCCCAGGCCACAAGCAGGGAGCTGGATGGGAAGTGGCTCTGCTGGGATTAGAACCAGCACCTATGGGATCCTGGTGCATGCAAGGTGAGGACTTTAGCCGCTAGGCCACTGCGCTGGGCTAAAAATTAAAAAAAAAAAAAGAAAAGCTGATACATGCAAACAAATATTCAATTTTAAAAAACTATATATGAGGCAGAGACAGAAAGAGAAGCAGGAGGCCTCCACCAGCTGGTTTACTTCCTAAACGCCTGCAACAGCCAAGGGTAGTCAGGTTGAAGCCAAGATCTCAGAACTCACATGCAGATTTCCTTGGTGCAGCACAGCCAGGTATCCGAGCTGTCCTCTGCTGTCTCCCAGGGTGCCCAACAGCAGGAAGCTGGAGCTAGGATCTCAACCAAGGTGCTCCAATAGAGGTAAGTATCCAAACTGCTGGGCCCAATGTCCACCCCACAGTCACACATCTTATTAATTAAAACAACTGCTGGGCCTGGCACAATGGCTCAGGGATTAAAGCCTCACTCTGCGATCATTGGGATCCCATATGGGCACCAGTTCATGTGCTGGCTGTTCCACTTCCTGTCCAACTCCCTGCCTATGACCTACAAAAGCAGTCAAGGATGGCCCAAAGCCTTGGGACCCTGCACCCACATGGGAGACCCAGAAGAAGCTTCTGGTTCCTGGCTTTAGATCAGCTTGGCTCCAGCTACTGTGGCCACGTGGGGAGTGGATGGAAGATCTTCCTCTCCTTTTCTCTGTAAATCTGATCGACCTTTCCAATTAAAAAAAAAATCTTAAACAAACAAACAAACAAACAAACAAAAAAAAAAAACCCCTGCTGATCCATACTCGTCCTGCTAATAGGGGATATCTGCTATTTAAGCTTTTCTCTGAGAGCTGCCTGTTTCTTTTTTGAATAGAGTGATGCACATGGAGAGAGTTCCATCTTGCATCCACCCATGTACTTCCCCACTCACTGCGCCAGGCTAGGCCAGACAGAGAGCAGCAACCAAGAAATCTATCTGGGTCACTCACACAGAAGGCAACTTGGACGACCATTGCAGCCTCCCAGGCACGGCAGCCAGAAGCCGAATGGAAAGCCAAGTAACTGGGACTTGCAACAGGTGTGCTGACATGGGATCTGTGACCCCAGTCGGCAGCCTGACTCCCTGCTGCTCACACACTCTTCAGTGGCACAGAAGCAGATTGCTCTGAGTGCCAACCTCGGGGGCACTTCCTCGTGAGCTTCCCACACAGTGACAGGGAGAAAAGCTCACCGGCATTTTATTTTGAGACGAGCAAGATAGAATTTTTTCTAAAATGTGGATTTTGCAATTTACTACTCAGAAGGTGAAGTGCTGAGGATATTACAGAGAAGCACCAGACAAATGAGGAAAAGCATTTGGAAAAGTTGGATAATGTAGAGTTACAACCACCGTTAGCGGCCAAGGAAGTCTACAGGCACACTCAGGTGTCACAGGCTGGACAGGTCTCCCAGACGGGCAGCCCTGCAAAAGCCCCAACTCAGCACTGCCTGTGTCCGAGGAAGCCTGCAGGCATTACCATGCAGCAGCACCACCCGGTTCCAGGAGATCAGGTTGCTGTCCACATTCTTGTCTGAGAAGAGTAAGGTTGTCGTCACGTAATCCAGGAGCTGACAGAAGGAAAGCAGGCGCAGGTCAATGTAGCAGCTGGGGCCCCTCAGGGAGAAGGCGCAGACACCTACACAGGCCCTACTGCTGAGGCACCTGGAAGGACAGGGCCATCTGGGCTAGGACTACTTCAGATATAAGAGAACAAAACCATCACTTCCATTCAAACGCCCATGATCATTGGGACCACGAGGGAACAGGGATGCTCTCTTCTAAGTGGGAGCACTTGGGGCAGGCTTGTGACCTCGTCTTGGACAACAGCAAGGGTTCCGTGTCCAGCATCATGGCCCCTGGTGTGAAGAGGACAAGGCGGAAGGCCCGCCGACCCCTCCTGACCCCACCCACTTAGCTCCTTCTGCCGCTGTGAAGAGCGAGAGTCTTTGCAGTGCTCTCTGGGAGCTCTGCGAGCAGGTCTACTCTAGGCCATCCCACAGGACACACGTCCAGGATTCCCATACTCCGTGGGTCACGCATCTGGGGAAAAGCAGGACTCACATGTGACTTGACCTCCACATCATAGACCAGGCTGTCCCAGAGCCCATGGAATTCAGCTGTGAGAGAAACAGACTGCACTTGAGGAAAGTGGCTGTGACCATGCCCTGGTTCTTCCCTGAGCCGCTTGCCCACACTGCTTATGGTGGGCTGAGAACCTCATTACAGAGAAAGGCACACTGCCCCCTTCTTCAGATATTAGCTCTTCTCGAAATTTAGGGGATAAAACACGTGTGGCAACATCTGACTTCTGGCCAATGATAATGAAATAAAGAAGATGGCTTCTACACCTCGCCATCAAGCAGAGTCCTCAGGAGTCACGCTGAGGGCCAGCAGATGGACTCTGTCAGCCTATCCATGTCTAGCTCCTGGGACATGAGGTCTTATCAACCTCCAGCCTCCATCTGCTGGAACACTGGCAGAGCCCTTGGGGTGGCACCAAGAGGAGGGGTGCAACTGGGCACAGATGTTTTGACAGTGTCTGCCAGCCACCTTCTGTAAGGAACAATGCCATCCTACACAGGAAATTCCTATGTTCCACTTCTCCATACACCTTTCCCTTCAGGAAAAATCATACACCTTCTAGAACCCTAGAGAATAGATGGGATCAGTGGCCTGATACGGCAATCCTTTGGCACCCCATACCTGCAGGCAGAACCCAGTGGTTTGCTGCGATGATATTTTCTGTCTCTTCTTCTAAATTTTCATTGCTGGGGCCATCCTCATTTAGCTGGAAGATGTGGAGTGCAACAGTACACACACTCAAATCAATGGGCTGTAGAGAAGGGGAGAAATCAGACAAGCCTGTGTATGCTGAAGCGTACTGTTTATTTCAGACTGAAAGTGATTCTATGGAATGTCAACATGTGTTTCCAGCTGCTGAGACCAGCCTATTCCTTTCTTCCCATGTCAGCTCCACCACAGGGGTGCGGCTGACCTGGGCCTTGGCCCTCTTCCTACAGCTTGGAGACATCTTCTCATTAGCATGCCTTTTAGTGGCTGTGTCACAAGCACTTAAGCAATATCTGATGGGTGCCAAGTTATCGCCTACTGCTGGCACTACCTAACAAATCTCTGTTCACACACAGTAACAGTACTGCAGGATCATCTGCTAGTACAAACTTAACAGCATCATCTATAGCCCGAGAGACCATGACCATCTGTCAGGAGGGCCCAATGCCTCGTGCTCAGCCACCCCCCCACTGCAGGATGCAGATGCCCACCCCAGTCTGTCCTGCATCAGAAGGGAGTGGTGATCCAGGATGCTGCTGAATGTGCACTCAGCTAAGGGCACCTGTTCCCAAAGGCTGAGTTACTGGGTTACCTGGGAGTCTTTGCCCTTCAAGTCTGTGTCAACAATAGCCACAGATTGTACATTTCTGCTCAGAAAGGGATCATCGAACTCAGTCCACTTGTAATCACCAAACACAATATTATGTCTGTTGAGTAATTTTCTGACACTCAGCTTTATGTCTTCTTTCTTTGCCGTACTAAGAAAACACAAACACATGTCAACATTTATATTGAAAAATAAGATTTTTTTAAGTTACATGTTTTCCAAACTTGAGAACACACCAAAGAAAGTGCTGCAGTCAAGAGGGCCAGCTGGGGAGCCACGTGCAGCCACCTCTGCTGTGGCCCTGGGAAGCTGCTCCATCACCCCAAGGCCTCCTGTCCAGTGGGGTCACTATGAAGAGGAGGCAAGGTGTTCCAAGTGGTTAGTGCAGTACCTAGCCAGCACTCTCACTCTGCAGTGAGGGAGGGTGACAAGGGTCTGCCCCTGTGCGCCTAATACAGAGCTTGGCATTCAGGGTGTCATCACCTTCCTTTTGCTTCCTGACTGTATCTGTCATGACAACTCTGTGCAGTTCCAGCAGACTGAGCGACCACAGCCATCCCTCCGGGGCCCTCTGGGGCTCCCCAGTGCGGTGGTTTGGTACAGCTGTGCGCAGCTGACAGACCATGCACACACAACTGCATGCAGAAACCAACTGTCCAGTGCGCAACGAGGCGTCTTCCTCCATGTGGTCTGGCTGCTTGTCCCTCTGTAAATGCTCAGAGAAGGCCTGCCTGATCTGCTGGCACCTCTGCCTTGTCACTTCCCAGCCCCAGCTCATAGACTGGGAGAAGGCTGCTGACTTTAAAAGGTGAAGTTCCTAGGGATCAGCAACCAAAGCAGCCTCACGCTCGGCCCAATTCTGGGCCTTCCTGCACCCAATGTGCCTCCAGTCATGGCAGACGGAGGGACTTCCAGCGAGGGCCAAACTGGGGGTCCACTTGGATCAGGTGGGCCCAGGATCCTCAGATCACCTGGGGTGGGGGCGAGTCCCTCAGGGGTCACCTGGGGTGGGGGCGAGTCCCTCAGGGGTCACCTGGGGTGGGGGCGAGTCCCTCAGGGGTCACCTGGGGTGGGGGCGATTCCCTCAGGGGTCACCTGGGGTGGGGGTCCTCCCTCAGGGGTCACCTGGAGTGGGGGCCGGGTCCTCCCACAGGGTAAGGCCTGCTTTGGCCAGACATCTCACCTGCCGCCACGCTGGAGCACCTCCACATGGACCGTGGGCACTTCCGTCACGCAGGGCAATGCCTGCTTCAGGTCGCCCACGGCCTCATCCATGGTGTGCCGGAGCAGAGGGTACCTGGCCGGTGGCTCCCCGCCGGGAGCAGTGAGGACGCGGCCCAGAGCACAGAGTACAAGGCCAGGAGCAGTGGGGACCCCGACAGGAAGAGAGGATACCCCTCCGGGAGCAGCGGGGACCCTCCGGGTGAGGTGGGGATCCCTCCGGGAGCTGCGCTGACCCCACCGTCTTCACCCCCGCCTCAAACCGTGACCCCACCCGCACTTCGAATCTGCCGCGCACGTAGCACCGCCCCCTGACCCGGAAGCGCTCGGTGCCCGCGGCGGGCCAGCGGCAGAGCGGGACGGGGCGGGCGGCTTCCGGCGCGGAACCTAGCGCTGGTTCCCGGGTTGTCTGTGGTGCTCGGCCTCCGCCTTCCCGCGCCCGGGGCCGCCGCCGCCATGGGCAAGAAGCACAAGAAGCACAAGACTGAGTGGCGCTCTTCGTACGAGGGTGAGGCGGCAGCGCTTTGTGACGCGCCCGGGCACGTTCGGAGCGCGGGTCCCGGCGCCGTCCGAGGGGTCCCCGGCTCGCGCCTCAGGAAGGTCCTGGCCCGGACCGAGGGTTCTCCCCGCCTCGCACGCTCTTCAGGGGCTCCCCAGCACGTTCCTCAAGAGGGTCCTGAAACGGACACCCCCCTCCCCGCACACACCTCAGGGGCGTGGACAGGTCACAAGGGCGTGGGTTGGATCTGGGCTGTGGCTGAGCGGGTTTCTGGCTGGTGAGCGGAGCCGCTGGCACTGGGGCTGAATGGATCCAAGGATCGTGGGTGGACGGGGGATTCTGGACACAGGGAATGAGGGTGTCTCCAGCTATCCAGGCCCAGGGGTGGGTGTGGTCCTTGGAAATGGACTGGATCTGTGGTGGGCGGGGGTCCAGGCCCAGGGGTTGGTGTGGTCCTTGGAAGGTGGACTGCGTCTGGGGTGCGGGTGGGGGGTCCTGGACCTTTGGATGAGGTGCCATCCTGGCTAGGGAGGATTCCTGGCTAGCGAGGATTCCTGGCTACTGCCCCCCTTGTGCTTGGCTGCGCCTGGGGAGATCGGCTTATTCCCTCTCTCCCTGGGGTCCTGTGGCAGCAGGGGCTTGGGACATGGGACCTCTGGGGACCTCCAGGTCTTGTTTTTCTGTCCCAGCCAACTGGTGCTGGAGGCTCAGCTACCCCAAAAGCTCATGCAGAGGAAGGACAGGAGGAGCGCCCCATGGTGGTGGGTTTGGCTCCCCTGTTTGCTTGCCGTGGCCTCGGTGAAGCCTTTGTCCATGTCTGTGCAGATTATGCAGACCAGCCCCTGGAGAAGCCTTTGAAGCTGGTCCTTAAGGTTGGGGGGAGTGAAGTGACTGAACTCTCGGGATCTGGCCACGACTCCAGTTACTACGACGACAGGTCCGACCACGAGCGAGAGAGACACAAAGAAAAGAAGAAGAAAAAGAAGAAGAAGTCAGAGAAGGAAAAGCGTCTTGATGATGAAGAAAGGAGGAAGCGGAAGGTAAGGGCCAGCGGGCCAGGTCCTCCCGCTAGCCCGGCTGGGGGCCTGAGCCTGCACCTGTGCCAGGCCGTCTAGTTGTTTCCTGTAGTTCTGTGCTGGGGCATCACTCTGGGCTGACGGCGGGTTCTGAGGAGGGAGAGTCAGCCAGAAGGGCCCACAGAGGCGTTGGGCAGCCTCCTGTTTCCCTCAGGCACTGAGGGGCTGGTGGGGCAGGTACAGCAAAGCCCTGACACTGCTGTGGGATGACAATGACCCCGCTTCTTCAACTCCCAGGAGGAGAAAAAACGGAAACGAGAAAAAGAACACTGTGACACCGAGGGGGAAGCCGACGACTTTGACCCAGGCAAGAAGGTGGAGGTGGAAGCGCCCCCTGATCGGCCCGTGAGAGCCTGCCGGACACAGCCAGGTGAGTGTCCACCTTCGCCGAGGCTCTGGAGTGTTGGTGCTTGTGAAGTAGGAATAACTCAAACAACCCACCGCTTGTTGGGGAGAGAAAGGGAGTGAACATGTTCTCGTTCAGGGACTCTCCCTTTTGCCTTTGGTACCTGGAGCAGAGCTTGGTTGATTCTTCAAAAGTGTTTCCCTCCACCTGCAGGGAGCAGTTTGCCTTCTTTGGAAGACTTGTGAGAATGAACTGAACAACAGGTGGCAGCTGGCAGGGCCTTGGCTGGCTGACCGCTTGAAGGCCAGGATCAGAGCGCATCGGAGGGTGGCTGGGTTGGTGTAGCTTGTGAGGGACACCCACTCTAGAAAAGTAGCAACAATTTTGTCTAGAGGCCAAAATAGGGGTCTGAAGTGGCTACATGCTGTGATAGAAGGAAGTGAGAGATCTTGGCAACTTGGGTCGTTGGCTGAGCATTGTCTGCCAGGGTCGCATGTGGCTTGTTCTGAGCCAGCAGTCTTGTGGCTGTGATTGGCTGTGGGCAAGGGTTATCTTCCTAGTGCCCACAACTTATAGTTCCCAAGGACAGGGAAGCAGGCCTGTGAGCGTCAGGACAGGGCCTGGCTGGAGCAGCCTGTGGGGTGCTTGGCTTCCCTGAGTCCTTTGTGACACCCAACACATCTTAACCTTGGGTTTGGCCACCTGAGGGGCCTGCTTTCTGGCACATCGCTCCCTGATATGCTTAAGGTCTTGCCAGAGCCTGTTGGGTAGATGTTTCAGGCATGTCGTCAACCGATGGATGTGTCTGAAAACTTGGTGCCGTTGCTGGTAGTGGCTGGTTCAGTCCCCGTAACTACCTATTTGGGATTCTTGCGGCTACCCTGTTCCTTGTGAATGGTCGCTCACGGGAGTCACTGCTGGGGATCCTTCCCTTTGAGGTCCCTGGCACCTGCAGTCATCACCCCAGATACATTGGTGTCTGTTCTGCGAGTTACTTCAGGAGTTGGTCTGGGACACATAGGCCCCAAGGGGAGCCCCGTTCTGGTGCCCTTTTTTACCCAACTGAGTTTTGTGGGAGTCAAGGCTAGTTCTGATACTTTTGGGGTATCCCCAGTTCTGACAAATAGCAAATAGTAAACACTGCAGCCAAACATTCATTATTCGCTTTTAATTTTTACTCATCTTTCACTTGTCAGCTGAGAACGAGAGCACTCCAATCCAGCAGCTACTGGAGCACTTCCTCCGGCAGCTCCAGAGGTGAGTGTGGGGGACAGGCGAGGTGTAAGCGGTCCTCTGTTCCAGCTGGGGTGGCCCGGCATTGTGGGCTGTCAAGGACAGAGCAGGGGACTTCCGACCCATTGGACATTCACCTGGCAGTGGCAGGTGCTTCAGATATGCATGCCAGGGCTAGGGCCAGAGCTTAGTCACATCTGCTGTGGCCAGCATGCTGTCACACACTTAGAAGGCATGTAGTGTAGTGTTTCATTTTTAAAAAAGGGTTGTTTGCTGGAAAGGCAGCGTGACAGAGTGAGAAGCAGACAGCACAGAGAGAGGTGTCTTCCATCCACTCTGTCATTCCCTAAATGGCTGTCGTAGCCATGCCTGGGCCAGGTGAGAGTAGGAGCCCCAGGCCCTGCCCTGTGTCCCACATAGGGACGGGCACAGCGCCTGAGCTACCTGCACTTGAGACTGGTGGAAGGGGAGCCGCTGTGGTGCAGGGTGATGAAGCCAGCCTTGTCTGCTCTGTCGGGATGGTGGAGGCCGACTGGCCAGTGCATCCAGTTTTGGGGACTGAGGCTTCCCCTGTGTTGAGTCAAGCTGTCTTGGCTTTCAGGAAGGACCCTCATGGGTTCTTTGCCTTCCCTGTCACGGATGCAATCGCTCCTGGGTACTCCATGATCATCAAACACCCGATGGACTTTGGCACAATGAGGGACAAGATTGTGGCAAATGAGTACAAGTCAGTCACAGAATTCAAGGTAAATTCATTCACTTTCTGGAATTACTTTGCAGAGTTCTGTGTCTGTTTCCAGTACACACTTGATTCCTCTTGCTCCTTCTGCAGCTTCGTGTTCTCTGAGCTTGAGGGTGCTTTACTGAGACAGTCTAGGAAGTGTGAGCACTGCTCCTGGTTTGCTCTGGGAGCCTGGCTGTGCCTGGCTTGCATGACAAGTATGTGCTGAAATGAACAGGAGTGTTGGTTCTGGTAGAACCAGTGTGTCCTGGCAAGCTAGTGGAAAGTTTTACAAACATAATTCCTTTTTTCTTTTTAAGACTTAATTATTTTCTTAGAAATTCAGATATACAGAGAGGAGAGACAGAGAGGAAGGTCTTCCATCTGTTGATTCACTCCCTAAGTGGCTGCAATGGCCGGAGCTGTGCCGATCAGGAGCCAGGAGCCTCCTCCGGGTCTCCCACGTGGGTGCAGGATCCCAAGGCTTTGGGCCATCCTTGACTGCTTTCCCGGGCCACAAGCAGAGAGCTGAATGGGAAACGGGGCTGCCAGGATTAGAACCGGCACCAAATTATCTTAAATAATTCTTAGAGTAGCTCAAGGTTCGCTGTTAACTGTTTCTTGGTACTGGCTGTGAGAGTTAGAAATTGCTTCTTTAAGAAAAATGTTTTGGGGCAAAGTGAATGACAACAGTGCCATTAATAAAAAGATGTTGGGTTTTCTGATGGTTTCCATCCACTTCAGGAAAGTGGCTCTCCTGTTTTTGTTTGCTGTACATACTCTCTGCAGCCTGACAGACCAAATAGAGACCAAGTGAGAAAGCTTTGTAGGAGGGAATCTTGCCAGGCCAGAGTAAGGTCTGTAGCACTGATCCATGCTCCTGGTCCTCTCAGTGTCCTTATAGGCCCTGGTGCGCAGTGCCCAGCCCATATGGGTCCTGACTGAGGGCATGTTGGAGCACATGATAGACATGCCTCTGGGGGCTGACCCAGGCCTGGGGGCACTGAGGGGGCTCACTGCAGGAGGTGTGTACCGAGGACCTGTTTGTCCTGTCAGTTTTGCAGTGCGGCTGACCTCGTGTGGGGTCACATCTTTCTTTTTTTTTTTTTTTTAAAGATTTATTTTTATTATTTTTTTTTATTGGAAAGGCAGATATACAGAGAGGAAAGACAGAGAGGAAGAACTTCCGTCTGATGATTCACTCCCCAAATGAGCACAACGGCCGATGCTATGCCGATCCAAAGCCAGGAGCCTCTTCCGGGTCTCCCACGCGGGTGCAGGGTCCCAAGGCTTTGGGCTGTCCTGTACTGCTTTCCCGGGCCACAGGCAGGGAGCTGGAAGGGAAGCGGGGCTGCTGGGATAGAACCGGCACCCATATGGGATCCCAGGCGTGCAAGGCGAGGACCTTAACCACTTGCGCCTCTGCTCCGGGCCCGGCCACATCTTTCTTAAGGAAGCCATTTGAGGACAAAATATGAAGCTGTGTTCTGTGAAGAGTTAAGGGGTGGAGGACGTCCTCTGCTCCCAACTTCATCCTCCTGCTTCTCCTGGAGGTGCACTAGCTGCTGCTGCTTGTTGCAAGGTGTGTCTCTGTTCCCAACAGGAAGGAGGGAGAGCTCGGGGAATGTAGGCCGCGTGGGAGATCCTTTCCATCCAGTAGAGATCTTAAAAATGGTGGCTTAAGCCAGAGAGCCAGTCTGCTTTCTCCCAGTTTCTGCCTTTCCCTCTTGCCTTCCTGGCAAGAGTTGCAACCTCTGATATTCATGTGGTGTTTGAGACTTGATTAAGTCCTCATTTTATCTCCAGGCAGATTTCAAACTGATGTGTGACAATGCGATGACATACAACCGACCAGACACTGTGTACTACAAGCTTGCCAAGAAGATCCTGCATGCCGGCTTCAAGATGATGAGCAAGGTTAGCACCCAGGGAGGGCTGAGCTCAGAAACTGGCACCCCTGCGTCGTGGAGTAGACGGCCCTGGCCGCCCTCTCCCCTGTGCTCCTGCTCCTGACCTAGCTGTCCCATCTCATTTAGGCTTGGTGGACAGCTCTGGATCTGTTGTCTCAAGCTGGGGTGTCACTCTCATTGGATTGCAGCCAACCCTGTGGGTCTGTGTACAGGGCTGCCTCCTTGAATGCAGATGGTACACCCTTGTCTGCTGGGGCCATGCTGCCTGCGTCCTGTGTGGGTGAGGTGCAGGACGTGCCGTGCCCTGGCTTTGCGCTGTCTGTTGGCAGCTGGGCAAGGCGAGGCTGTGGCCACCCACCCCACCCCACCGTCACGGCGCGCCAGCTGCAAGGGAGAGGTAAAGCCCTGCTCTGTGCTTTCTGATTCTAGGAGCGGCTGCTAGCTCTGAGGCGCAGCATGTCGTTCATGCAGGACATGGATTTCTCTCAGCAGGCAGCTCTTCTGGGCAGCGGAGAGGCCGCTGTTGAGGAACCTGCTCCCGAGGTTGCACCGGTCCAAGTAGAAACGGCCAAGAGAGCCAGAAAGCCGAGTAGAGAGGTCATGAGGTAACTCCTGTGTGCCCAGTGCACTTGCCTGGGAGTGAGGGTGGGAGGCCATCTTGTGGCTATGGACACTCGTGCCGCTGCTGGTTCATTAGTCTCCAGGACTGCGTCCAGGTGTCAGGGACACTCGACAGCATTCAGCTGAGCCTTCTGGCCCAGTGCTTCAGGGGCGGTAGTTGTCCCTTGCCTGCCCCTCAGGAGGGAGGTGACTGTTGCAGAGGTGATATCACAGTGGTCACCCTGCACCTTACAGTCCACATCTCACACACTTTCCCAACACTACCCTGCAGCTGGAGGAAGCCACAGGCTCCTGCTTATTGCCACACACCCGCTGAGCCCCCTGTGGCCTGGTCTGCTCACATGGCTGGCCCCATACCTTATCTGCCACTGCCCGTGCAAGCTTTCTGCAGCGTTCACAAGCCCCCACACTCTGGGTATCTGCTGTGCACAGTGCCTGGAGAGGTGTGGCTGTTCAGGTGTAGGGGCTCCCACAGCTTTGTGCCATTCCCGCTGGCAGCAGCTGAGGGCCTTCCAGGATTTCCTACCCTTTGCTCCCTCATAGCAGCTGAAATGGAGATTCAATTACAGATTGCGTCAGTGGTGGATTTTATTATCAAAAATTCATTTTTTACTTACAAGAGTAGAGGAGAAACAGATCTTCCATCTGCTGGTTCACTCCCCAGATGGCCATGTGTGAGCCAGACCAAGAGCTTCATCCTGGTCTTCCACATCAGTGGCGAAGGTCCAGTTCTGTCAGCCATCTGCTGCTGCCTGCCCAGGTGTGTTATCAGGGAGCTAAATGAGAAGCAGAGTAGCTGGAACCCCACCCACCCTCTAGTAGAGGTTGCTATGATCCCAGTGGCTGACTTGGCTTGCTGAGCCACAATGCTAGCCTTTAGCAATGGTTTTAATGAGCTTTGAGGGAATTCTAAGTCCAGTCCCTCCATTGTTTGTTTCCTTCTTAAATATGTGTCCAGTAGGTGGCCCACTCTGGTGTGACCTGCGTGGGTAGGATTTAGGCTGCTGTGTTGGTGACCAAGGGCAGGACCCGCTATGTTTGCACTGAATACTCTCTGTAGTAAAGGGTCATATGACTCTGGGTCACTTCAGTCATAGCTGAGAGGACAAGAGTGCCTTGTGGAAAAGCAGCCAACACTCTGCGATTGCTGTGTGCCGCCGTGTCCCACCATGCCATTGTGCTGGCCTGAAGCTTGGTTCATGGTATTTGGTGCTAAGATGCTGGCCTGTGCCTAACTCGTGTCTTCAGACAGAGAGCCTGTTTGCCTTGTGCTTCTATATCTGTTCCCTTGGGGCATGCTGGGCTCAGTGCTGGCCCCACACACGCCAACCACAGGAGGTGCCATCCCTTAGGGCACACCGGGCTCAGTGCTGGTCCCACATACACTGACCACTGGAGGAGCTGTCCCTTGGGGCATGCTGGGCTCAGTGCTGGCCCCACACACGCCAACCACAGGAGCTGCCGTCCTTTGGGGCATTCTGGGCTCAGTGCTGGTCCCACATACACCGACCACTGGAGGAGCCGTCCCTTGTGGCATGCTGGGCCCAGTGCTGGCCCCACACAACTGACCACAGGAGCCCTTGGCCGCTTAGCTATAACCTGCCTACTTTATAGTTTTCCACGGGAGATGGGAGCTAAGTCAGCCTTTGGAGTTGAGAACTTCATCACAGGGAGCTAGGACCTCACTGCAATGTGAGACTGAATCTCTGGGGCATTCCTTGTTGACAGCACCCCAAACTTGTGTTCCCAGTGTTGCTGAAGTATGGTTCTCAACGCATCAGCAGTTTTTCGCACTTTTGTAAAAGTGCCTAGAATGATTCTAAGCATGTACTTCTCCAAATTTTCCTCTTTTTTAAAGACAAATGAACTTTTTTATCAGTTGAATATGAGAACAGTACTTGGCTTACATCTTACATTCTTCATTTTACTTTGTTTTGAAGTGATGTAAGATGTGTGGGGCAGCAGGGCTCTGTGGGTGTGAGAGTGAGGTTAGACCTGAAGGTTGCAGAACCCTGTGATATTGTGAAAAGGAGGTTAGGCTTGTGGGGTACAGTGTTGTGTGTTGGTATGAGAGTAAGGGAAATGTGTGAGGGTGCAGTCCTCTGCTGATGTGAGAGTGACAACTGTGAAGGGTACAGTGTGAGAGTAAGGTGAGATGAGAGTGCAGTGCTGTGTGTTCGTAAGAGTAAGGTGAGATGTGTGAGGGTGCAGTGCTGTGTGTTGGTGTGAGTGAAGTAAGACATGTGAGGGGTGGCAGGACTGTGCTAAGGAGAGCACTGGGAGAAGCCAGTCCAGGTCTACCTGTTGGAGAGTGTGTAGGGGGTTCCATCTCGTTTTGTCTTTGTGAACGGTGGGTGCGCTAGCAGGGTACGCCCCTGTGACATGCTGGTCTTCATTCCTTGCAGCTGCGTGTTTGAGCCTGAAGGCAATGCATGCAGTCTGACAGACAGTACTGCCGAGGAACATGTGCTGGCGCTCGTGGAGCATGCGGCGGACGAGGCTCGCGATAGGATTAACCGCTTCCTTCCTGGTGGCAAGGTAATGTCCATGTCCTCAGAAGGGTCCTCTTGCCTCAAATCCTTGTGAATATTTCCTCATGGGATGGGACTGTGGACTTGATTAAATCTTAAATCAGGAGGCCTGCTGCTGGAATACTGCCAGCATCTAGACAGGACCCTGTGTGGGCCCAGAGCTGCCCTACATCCTGGGAAAGCAGGATGTCGCAGAGTTGGAGCAGCTCCTGCGTCCTTGCTGATTGTTTTTCCTCAGGAGGTCTCCTCACAACACCCATACTGGAGGTGACCAACCTGTGACCCTCCACTTGATGGAGGTCCTGCTACCCCCTCAGACTCATCCACATCCCTCTCACTTGTGTTTAAGCATCCTCCCTATTTCCTGCACCTCCCTGCAGTGATCAGGGATTGCCATGGTCCCATGGACTGGACTACTGCACCTTCACCTTAGTGCATTCCTCTCTCAGGCCTCCAGGGCATTGTGTCCGCATGATGTGGTCCCAGTCTCCTTTGTGCCTGCAGACTTAGGGCAGTCAGGCTGGCATAGTAACAGCACATGGGCAAAAGTACGCTGACAAGTTATTTTTAACCTCATCCATCTAAGCTCTTGTCATAGAAGACCCTAATTAGAGAGCTGCGTTGTTTTATATGCGGTGTGTTTGAACAGTACATAAGGTTGCATGTGAGGAAGCTGGAGAACATGTGATGGACTTGTCAGGTCAAGCAAGCTAGAGTCAGGCCAGTGTTGGCTGGCATGTCTGCTCCCTGAACAAGCCTACAGGGAGCTGTACAAGGGCCTGTGGTCTGCTTCATTCTCCTGGGCACAGGCCCCTGCCCATCGCCTGTGGCCCTGGAGTGGGCATTTCTCCAAGGGGTACCTTCAATGGAGAAACCTTGTTTAGAGAGTGTGATCTGGGCCGCCACACTGCAAGAGTGGCATGTACATGCATTCTGTGCACACATTTCTCTTAGAAGGAAAGCTCTATTTGGCTGTGTTCCCATTTGCTCAAAGCCACGTTTTCACACTGAGACCCTGGGTTCTCCTTCTGCTGCCATGGTGGGCTCCCTGGCCAGGGTGCTGTTGTGCCTCATCTCCCACCTCTCCCAGTGCCTGTTCATCCTGTCTTGAGTGTGGCTTCCTATCAGGATGGCTGCACATGAATATCATGCCCATTCCATTCACCTCTGTGTGCAGGCCGGTGACCGTGCTGTGAAGAAGGTCTTGCTCACACGCAGCCCCTGACATGTAGATAGCCCTCCCCACGTCGCCCTCCTCCTCATCTTCTTACCAAATCTGTGGCTGGGCTGTAGCCTGTGGCATGTTTCCTATCTGTTGAATGGACGTGCAGCCTTGGGCCGCAGCTGCCCACATGGTGCTTATGGATCTGTGCTGTTCATTTTGCTCAGGCTCATGAACACTGTAACTGCTTGGATTAGGGTCCTGGTGAGCCCCAAATAGGTTCTAGGGAGCACAATGAGGCCTCTGGCATTGCTCCCAGGGAAACAGCATTTCTGGCTGATGGGGTCTTGTCAGACTCTGTTCATTTCTTCCAGATGGGCTACCTGAAGAAGCTCTGTGATGGAAGCCTGCTCTACAGCGTTGTCAATGCGGCTGAGCCGGATGCTGATGGTGGGTGCCCCAGCAGGGTCGCCTTCTGTGTTCACACACCGTTGTGCCCTCTGGTCACTTTCAGGGACACACAGCATGTGTTGTGTGTTCAGATGCCTGCACCCCAGGGAGGTGGCAACGTGAGAAGCTTCCTACTCTCTGTGCACCAGTCAGACCTCTGTTAGAGGCTGCTCAGGGACTTGCTGTTACCCTCCCAGTAAGCTGCCAGGAGCCCTGCAAGTTGAACTTGCCGCTATGTCCTCAGTCCTATTTGCTGTGTGATGTCAGCCAGCCAGCTACCGTCTGGGGGCTGGCAATCACAGCACAGAAACTCTCATGATTGATATGTCATGGCTGTAGGAGCTGTTCTTTCCACTTCTCCATCTCCCAGAGAAATCACCCAAAAGCTTGTCTTTGGCAACCCAGTGAGCGTACCTAGTTAAAAGGTATTCATAGGTAGGTAAGGAGATCGGACTCATCAAGGAAGGCCTGTGTTCTGTTGCTCCTGGGCTGCGCGTTCTGGCCTTGTCCATGCAGTCCTAGAGAAGAGGTGTGTTTTGTTTCCTTTGATGCTCACTGCACACAGAATGTACACTGATTGTTTTGGTTATTAGCTGAAACAAATTGGCAGTGTTTTATGAGTTGATTGATAATTTAGCTTAGAAAGAGAACATTGTGCATTGATTGAAACCTTGGCTTGCAGTGCTGGCATCCCACATGGGTGCGCCTCTGTGTCTTAGCAGCTCTGTTTCCCATCCAGCTCCCTGCTGATGGCCTAGAAAAGCAGCTGAGGATGACCTAGGTGCTTGGGCTGCTGCTCTCACATGGGAGACCTAGACGAAGCTCTCCTGGCTTTGGGCTAGCCAGGCATCTGGGTCATGAACCATTAAATGAAATTTATCTGTCTTCTTATCTGTTCTTAAATTTTTCAGAATAAATTACTAAATCTTAAAGTGAGAGAGGACATTGATATTGAGGTTTCTGCTGGGGATTGAGAAATCCCTACCCAGATTCTATGAGGGGTATGTGCATGAGGAACTGAGCAGAGCAGGTGTGTCGTCAGGAGAGGCCAGGGAGGTGAGGCACGGGTGCTGTCAGAGCTTGCAGAGCAGACTTCCTGTCACAGGTGTGAGTACATGCTCCTGTCACAGTGCCAAGTGATGCATTTGAAAATATGTAAAGTGTTGGTATGATTGTCAGGTGACTTCGTTATGGCAACTTTGGACAGATTTGAAATGCAGTTAATCATAAGGACAGTGGTTTGCTTTTGCAAATTTATCTTAGATGTCCTTGCTGGAGCCAAGGCTGCCACTCACGGCCTGCCATGTCTGCTGTTGCATGCTGTGTAGAAGGGTATGTGGCAGAGCTGGGGCCGCTGCTCACAACCTGCCATGTCTGCTGTTGCATGCTGTGCTAAGAAGGGTGTGTGGCAGGGCCAGGGCTGGGGCTGCTGCTCATGGTTCGCCATGTCTGCCGTTGCAGAGGAGGAGACGCACCCTGTGGACCTGAGCTCCCTTTCCAGCAAGCTGCTCCCAGGTTTCACCACGTTGGGCTTCAAGGACGAGAGAAGGAACAAAGGTACAGGCAGAGGGCAACCAGTCCTCCTCACAGGCTGCCAGGGAGGTTGCTGACACAGCAGGAACGGAGCTGAGCTGAGCTCCTGTACTGGTGGGTGTCGCATGCCAGAGCCTGGAGAGTTCTCCCACAAGCTCTTGCTGCCCACAGGGCCAGTCCTCACTTCAGGGTCCCCTGGTGGTAATCCAGAAGGAGTTCCATTTCCTCCAGCAGGATGCCACCCCAGTTTATCCAGGGTTAGGTGCTGCCTAGAGGCTCAGAGAAAAGCCTGCTGATGGTGGACATTTGGCTCTGGCTGCTGTGCATTCGTACTAGGTGTTCTGATTGAAATATAAGTATGTCTCTGCGCATGTGTGCACATGTGTATTCCGAGGCTAGAAATGTACAGTAAGCGCTTTGTGCCTCCCATTTTATGTTCAGTATTTCCTATTTTCCATCCCCTTGGCATTTACAGAAATCTTTGTAATGATTGAAAGTGTTTCTCCTCCCAGTTTCCACTGTCACTTCCTGTTCCAAGCTGTGGTCACTTGTTGTGTGTTTTCCACCTTTGCTGCTGTCAGGTGCTTTCTGGCTATCACCTCACAGCTTTGCTGCAGGCTGGGGCTCACCCCTAGAAATGGAGCCTTTCCCTGTAGTCTTCATTTTGTGGAGATATAAGACAGGGTTATATGAATTCTGCAGGTTCACACAGCAAGCTTTGCCTTGTTGGAGTAGACTTAGAACTAGAGTTTCATAAAGAATGGGACGGGACCCAGCCATGCAGGCAGGTGCGGGCAGCAAAGCTAAGTGTGCATGCGTGCCGAGTGACCATTTGACACTGTGCCCTTTGCTCTCCTTGTCAGTCACGTTTCTCTCCAGTGCCAGTACTGCTCTCTCCATGCAGAATAACTCGGTGTTTGGGGACTTGAAATCGGATGAGACTGAGCTGCTGTATTCAGCCTACGGGGATGAGACGGGCGTGCAGTGTGCACTCAGGTGAGTGCTGGTCACATGTCTGCACGTGGCATGCGAGTGGCCAGGGCCATCTAGGAACACATGGGAAAAGTCACTGGTGGCAGTGCAGGGGTCATTGCAGTCATCTGTTGTCTGCTGCCACTTGTCTTGATTTCAAGTGACTCAGTCATCTCTGAGACGGCAGAGCCCCAGGTGGCAGCTAGGGAAGAAAAGAGTAAATGTGAGTATATGTGTGTGAGTGCACTGTGAGTACACGTGTGTACACATGAGTACCCATGTATGAGTGTACACGTGAGCACACATGTATGGTGCATGTGTGTGAGTGTGCACATGTGAGTGCACGTGTATGAGTGTACACATGAGTACCCATGTATGAGTGTATGTGCAAATACACATGTGGGGTACATGTGTGTGAGTGCACTGTGAGTACACGTGTGAGTGCACATGGGTGAGTACTTGTGTGTGAGAATACTCGTGCATGAGTGCGAGTGAATGCACGTGTGTGAATGCACTGTATGAGTTCACGCGTGTGGGTGCACATGTGTGTGTGCCTAGTGCTCTGTTTCTGGGTATATTGCGATTGTGTGTGTGTTTAGTCAGAGGTGTGTTCCCAGGTGTATTAAGACGTGTGTGTCTGTTTAAAATCAAAGCAATACGAAGAAGGTATCAGTTCTCCACCCATTCTGTCCCACTGGCAGTAGGAACCCATTTATCAGTCTGCTTACGTTCTAGAATTCAAAGCTGGTGGGTCACGTCTTTGTTCATCCAAGTCAGCGAAGTGTATTGTATGTCTATGGCTGTGTACTCTTCATTTTGGATCTCAGATCCATTTAGAAGAGCCATCACCTGCTCTTGTAAAGACAGCGTGTCCGGGAATGTCCAGGAAAGTGTCAGGGTGCCGCCGCAGCCACAGGCTTCTGTGGTTGGGCATGCCGTGGGTCTTGACAGTCACCTTGCAGCGCCTTTTCCCCAATGTCCCCTCCAGCCTGCAGGAGTTTGTGAAGGATGCTGGGAGCTACAGTAAAAAGATGGTGGATGACCTGCTGGACCAGATCACTGGGGGAGACCACTCGAGGATGCTGTTCCAGCTGAAGCAGGTGAGCCCAGCCCTGAGCGCCAGGCTTGGCATCCTTTCTCTACTGAGAAGGACTCTGTCTAGGGGAGCTGGGACACCTGACCTGGTTGCCATTTGATGCTGCTAGCTAAAGGTTTCAGGTCAGCTGCAGGCCTTAGCACAGTCTAAGGCAGGAATACATGGTCACGAAGACATCTAGGGACTGCCCCATGCTTCGGAAGAGTCGGTGCTGAGCCAGTGCCCTGCGGAGGGGTGGTGCTGTCAGTTCACTCTACCTTTTGCTTGAACTGCTTTGCTGAATGCAAACGTGGGTCACATTTAAATAATGTCGAATTTAGCACAGCATCAGCTGGTACTTAGTGCTAAAATATGTAACTGAAGAAAACCCAGGCGAAGAAATAGACTTTGAAATAATGGCACTTTGTGTGTGAAGGTCATGGGTATGCATTTGTTCCACTGGTCAAGATACCACATTCCGCACTGGAGTGCCAGTGCAGGCCAACCCTGCGAGGCCGCACGTGATCCCTGCCACCCATTCTGGAGGCCAGGTTTCTGTCTTAGGCTACCAGCCTGGCCTAGGCTGATCCCTAGCCATTACAGGCTTCTCGGAGGTGAGCCAGCCAGCCATACTTTATCTGCCTCTTCCTCTTAAGAAAAAAAAAAGTAGAAATCATAAATGATTCATAGATATGTCATTATGAACAGAGACCCCGGACTGAGTGGGCTCTCTTGCATGGTGTGTATACTCAAGCCCAGGCTGAGGCGGCTGAAGGCCTTGCTGCTCCAGCAGCTCAATGGGTAGCCCTCTGGAAGCCGACAGCACAGCCAAGGCCCCAGAGCCCTGGAGACCCTGATGTGTTTTAGGAGGGGTCACACACTCCTACCTCCTGGGACTTGAGCAGGTCTCAGGTGCCTTTGATCCAGCTTGGCCCATCAGAGCTGAGTGGTTCTGAGCTGTCAGGTTCGGCTGCAACATCTGACTTTCTGCTGGCATTTATGCCAAGGACAGCCTTTTTCCTGGCTGTGAAGCCCCCAGCCAACCCTCACCTTGACCCACAAGGAGCCCCTGCATATGTGCATGTTCATGTGTGAGAAATCTGAGGGGCTGTCCATCTGGAAACACTTTTCCCTGTGCTTCTTTGCAGAGGAGAAACATCCGCACGAAGCCTCCAGATGACGTGAAGGTGAGTGTGCGAGGGAAGCTGGCCTGCAGTTTCTCTGCTGCCTATATCTGGTGTGGAGGCTGAGATTGTGCCCACTGTGGTGTGGGGGCCAGTGTCATGTCCATCGTAGTGGGTGAGGTGAAGTGACTTGCCCACTTCGACCCCAACTCAAGGTCCAGGTCTCCCTGCAATGTCCCTGGTGTGCTGTCCTCAGGACATGGGGTGACCATGGCTGCCGAGCTTGTCTGCCAACCATATGATGAGTCCTGTGCCAGGAGCCTGGCAGGTGTGGACATGGATGTGGATTCCTGGGACCTCACCCCTCAGCCTAACCTGAGGGTAGAAATTACACTCTGAGCACTGACTGGGGGTGCCATGACTGCTGTAGACTCACCTCCAGGAACTGTAGCTATGCAGAGGGGCCCAGGTTGGGCATTGCTGCAGGGATCCTGGAACTGTTGTGTGGCCTCGTCCACTTAGGAGTGCGGAAGGGTGGTTGAACAGGTTTTTCTCAGTGTGGGTTTGCACCCCAGAGCCCCTCAGCTGTTGCATGGACAGGATGTGGTTTCAGGAGCCCCCGTGGAAGGCGTCTCCTGTTTCTTGCTCGCCCTGTGTTTATGAAAGCTTCATGTCTGTCCTGTTGTCTGCAGGTTGGGGATACGCTGGGAGACAGCAGTGCTTCCTCCCTGGACTTCACCTCCATGAGGCCATGCCCTGAGGTCTCCCTGGATATCTCCATGATCGGTACCCTGGGTGAGTCATGTGAGGGACATTTGCGCTCAGAGAAGCACCTGGTTCCACTGAGCCACCCCAGCCAGTAGAAGGGAGCCACCAGGCTGTGCCAGGCATAGGAGCAGGCACCGCCTAGGTAGTCAGGTCAGCTCTGGGCTGGTGTTCTGCAGAGCTGTGTGGTTGTGGGCAGAAACCCTCACCTCAGGTGCCCAGTGTGTCAGTGGTGGAGGAGGGAGAAGCTTTGCTGCTCTTGAGCCTTCCATGAGCTGAGGCTGTTAGCGGTTGGGGCATGGGTGGGCACTGTTGGGACCACCCATGCTGGGCTTACCTGTGTCTGCAGTGGAACATGAGCTGCACCTGTCCAACAGAGGCTCTACTGGCCAGTGTGTACTTGCCTGGAAGGACAGGTTCTCAGAGTTAGTGTGAGCTTGTCCAGGAAGATGAATTCTTGAGTTACCCTCCACAGAGGCTGTGTGTTGCAGACCCTCTGCTGGTACTAAGGAGCCAATGAGTTCCTGTGGTGAGGTCTTTGCAGTGCCCCTTCCTCATGTCCCTTTGAGGTAGCCACTCCCCAGATCCTCTTCTCGTTCTGGGACATCTGGTAGAGCATGTGGGTGCCCTGCTTCCTGCTGTGGGCAAACCCCTCCACTGTCCTGAGTGCAGTAGGACTCTGCCTCTGCTAAGGAGCCCTCCCAGTCACTGATTTATTCCGCAAGAGCCAGGGCTCTGAGACTGGAATCTGGGTCTCCTGTTTGGGTCCCAGGTTCAAACTCAGGATTAGGCACCCAGCACTGCCCCCCCAGTGCAGACTCCAGAGGAACAGTGCACAGTTTACCCAAGGACTCGGGTTCCTTCGAGGGTAGTGCTGGCAGTGTTCCAGTGCTCCTACAGTGTGGGAACACTTGATCCCCATTCTCATTTTCTTAGCACTTCCTTGGTCTTCCCCCATTGTGCTGTGTCAACACTTTGGTTGTAGTGTTGCATGATTTGCCTTTTTCTCATCTGTTGGTGATGTGCAGATGTTTGGCCTGGGTTTGTCACTTGGACCTACCAGGAGCACTGTGACCGCTTCAGCAGGCAGCCCTCTCTTCCTGCTCCAGCTCCGCCATGTACAGACCCTTCCCTCTGAACCCTGAACTCCCCTGGGTGCTCCTCTGCATGGACTCTGGTTGGCTTTTTTCCCATCATCGCATCACCTGGCACTGAGGCACAGGGCTGTCTGCTGCCCTCTCAGACCCTTAACTGGGCCCCTGGCTTTTTTGCACACCAGAGCTTCTCTGCTGACTCAGGCAGAGTCTGCCCCCTAGCTACTGCCTTGGGCTGCTCCCTTCAAGGCAGGTGGCTTTCAACTGTGGCTCTTAGGGGATCTGGAGTCTGCTGGACCCTTTCCAGGCATTGTTCGACTGGACCCAAAGCCTTGCTGCTGTCCCACACAGGCAGCCCCCTCATGTCTGCCCTCTTCGGGCACCCGACTTGGCACCCCCTCTGGCAGGACAGGAGTGGTTGGTCATGGAAACTCTTGGCATGTCTGGTGCCATCCTCTCAGCCCAGCTAGGGAAGCTGCTATCATGAGAGTGGGTGCAAATCCTGGCTGTCCACTGTGACAGGAAGTGGGCTCGGCCAACCCCTTGTGGGAGGAGCCAGAGCTATGGGCTGTGTAAATGCAACAAGTCTCACGTGGGGCCTGGCTTTTGCTGCCACTGCTTGGAGGCTCCCTGGCCTTGGCTGTACCCATGCGATAGCCCTGTCCTCTGAGGGCCAGGCCTGACCTACTGTCTCCTCCCGACCCCAGGAAAAGTAAAGAAGGAGCTGCACCATGAGGACGGCCACCTTAGCCTGGACGAGACAACGAAGCTCCTGCAGGACCTGCACGAAGCACAGGCCGAGCGGGGGGGCTCCCGGCCCTCGTCCAACCTCAGCTCCTTGTCCAATGCCTCCGAGCGGGATGCCCATCACCTGGGTGAGTGACCATGGCCAGGCCTCCGCCCCTGGGGGCCAAGTGTAGCTGGCTGTTCTGTTCCTAGGGCCCTTCCTGCGGACCTCAAGGGAGAGCTGCTCATGCAGCTGTGAGCTCCAGATCAGATCGTGGGGATACTTATTTCCATTGCAGATGTGTCCCAGCATCATGTGAGGTTGGGTGAAATATCAGGGAGACATGTGGCCATCCTGGCCAGGGTCCATCCTGGGTATACATGGGATCAGTGCTAAAGGCCTCTGTCTCCTAGGAGGAGAGAGAGAGCCTGTGTCGTGGGAGGAGAGAGCATGTGAGCTGGTCTGTGTTCTAGGAGGAGAGAGCGTGTGAGCCGGCCTATGTCCTAGGAGGACAGTGTGAGCTGGCCTGTGTCCAGGAGCCTTAGCTGCCCTGGGCCTGGGGTCACGCACAGACAGCTTTGGGTACAGGGCTGTGCACTGCGAGTTCATCCTGTGTGTGTCAGCCCTGCTTTCCCCACACTCCAGGAAGCCCTTCTCACCTCAGCGTCGGGGAGCAGCCCGATGGGACACATGACCCTTACGAGTTTCTTCAGTCACCAGAGCCCGCAGCCTCCGCCAAGAATTAGCCTCATCGCAGTCTCCAGCTGTCTCATTGGAGAGTTAAGTTGCACGCACATTTCTGTCGTGAGACAAAGACTTGCCCACCTTGGTGTGTGGGACTCAACGCCTGGAGTGAACTGTGACCCACTGGGCCTCATCATGGATTCTGGGTGTGACTGGTGCCTTGGGCTGCCTGGGGCAGGCAGTGTCTGCACACACATCCACATTGCCCTGGGAGGCTGTCCTTGCATGTCCCATCACACACCCCCATTGCCTGGCAGGCCATGGCAGGGTCCCCGGGGCCAGTCTGAGGTGGAGCTGTGGCCCTGTTGCCGTTTGGTGAATGAGCTTGCGAAAGGAGTGCACACGGGCCTGTGTTGTTGCTGATACCTGCTGCCCCTCCGTGCAGTGCTGTGAGCACAAATAAAGAGATGCAAGGAGCACTTGGGGTGTGCCCCCGGGCGCCTGTGCGTGGGGACACCCAGGGCATCCATCATCCCAGGGTGGGTGCAGGTTGGTGCTCAGTGGGCAACAGGCACGTCTAGCTAGAGCTCTGGGCTGTGGGAGGATCCTCAGAAAGGTCTGTAGGTGAAGGATCAGAAGCAGCCTTGCCCGTAGAGAAGAAAAGGTATCAGTTAGAGAGTGGTGGGGCACACAGAGGGGAGCTGGCTTGTGTCTGCTGGGGTGTCCCTGGCCTCCCATGCTTGCTCCTTGGCCTAGGTCGGCTCCCCAGGTAGCCAGAAAGTGGACAGTGGGCCCCATGTCACTCTGGCAGGACATCTCCAGGGTTGAAGTGGCCTGGAGTTCCATGCCTTGCTCCCAAGCACAGCCTATCAGGACAGCTCCTGGCTAGGGGCCCGTCTGTGTGCAGTGATCACACAGGCCTTGGGCAGCCCTGCCCAGGACTTGGATTCCCAACCTGGCCTGCTGTTCGGAATGGAAGGGAGGAACTATCAAGTCACATGGCATAAATTCACCACCACTTGCAGTGGCATGTGCAGCCATCACCTCTCAGGTTCCTCAGCAATCCGCTCTGATAGGGGAGACCCTTGGGCACTCATCTCCCACCTGGGAATACCTGATAGGTACCAGTCTCTGGTCAGCGTCTTGGGCATGGGCATCAGTGGACAGCAGGTGCCTCTTTGTGACTGCGTTGCTGAGTGTGTCTTCATGGGTCATTCCTGTGTAGCCATGTGACTGTGGCCACTCCTGAGGGCTGAGGACAGAAAGTGGGGTAGAGGGGGTGGCTCCTGGCGGTGCTGCCAGTGTTACCCACAGGCCAGCCCAGCAGGGCCTCTTCATACCTTGAGGATGGGAAGAGAAACAGGCCACCTGCTGGAGAGCAAAAGACATCTCAGAGCTCTTGAAGTGAGTGAAGTACACCACGTGTATGAAACTGCTTGCTCCCCATTAGCTGGGCTCCACGTGCCCCCCACAGAGCAGACGTCGCCAAACCGACAGGCTGGAGCAGAGCTGAGCAGGGCTCCCAAATGACTACACGGGCAGTGTCACCTGGTCCTCTTTGGCCCCAGACACCTTGTAGTGTCATGGCTCCCAGTACAAGCCCTCAGGCAGGCCTGGGTGAAGGCTGCTGCTCTTCTCAGCCCCTGGCTGGGCAGCACCTGTCGTTACTGGGAGGAGAGCAGACTGCTTGCTGGCAGCTGAGGCCACAAGACCACCGCAGCAGTACCCAAGAACCTGAGTCTTGGTGTCACACCCCATGGATTTGGAGGTGAGGCTGGCATGGGTGTGGACAGCTGTTCCTTAGCTCCTATCTAGTTATGCCATAATTTCAGGAGTGGCTGGGCCTGCTTCAGGGAGTGTGAGAGCCCAGGGCCTCAAGAGGCAGCTAGCTTGCTCTTCAGGGGACCCCTCAACCTGGACATAGCTCAGGGTGGCCCAGTGGGTGATGGGAAGAGGGAGGGGCATGCCTGACTCCATGCTGCATGCTGGTGTGCACGGGAGGCACCACCTGTGTCTACTGGTAGGTGGCCTGGAGGACCAGGGTTTCCCATTACCATGGAAACTAAACTCCCAAACCCAGCTGACTTCCCTCCCAGTCTGCTGTGATCCCAGGGCCTGGGTGAGACAGTCCACTCAGAGTGGAGCTCTTAGGGGTCCTGGTGCTCTGTCCACTGGCATTTCCTTGGTCACAAGGTGGCCACTATCCTGGCAACCATGATTAAGGGGCCATCCCAGCTGTCCCTGGCCTCCAGAACACCATGCTGTCTCAGCCCATAGGGGCAGCCAGCAACCCTGCCCTATTTGCTGGGGACTAACATGGGGCTGATCACTTTGTACCATTGTATGTGAGCCCTTATGTCACAGATGAGAAATGGGTGGGGCTTGCTGGGATGTAACATCTGTGTCAGCACCCCTGTCCACCTCATAATCTGCAAATCCTGCACGTGGGAAGCTGCGGTCTGGTGTGTAAGCTCCCTCTTCACCTGCTGTGCCCCTCAGGTGGCTGCTGGTCACAGTGTCTGTATACCTCAGCCAAGCCTCGTTCCAGTTTGTTTTAGTGTATGTGCTGCCAACATGAGCACAGTTTTATTTCTGTTGGAAAGCCAGATTTAGAGATCAGATCTTCCATCCACTGGTTCACTCCCCAAGTGGCCTCAACAGCTTGAGCTGAGGTGATTGGAAACTTCCAGATCCACATGAGTGCAGGGTCCCAATGCTCTGGACTGTTCTCTATTGCTTTCTTAGTCCATAAGCCGGGAGCTGGAAAGCGAGTGGCGCAGTTGGGACACAAACCAGCAAGCACCCATATGGGAGGTAGGCGCTTGAAACTGGAGGATTAGCTAGTTGAGCCATTGTGCTGACCCCCTTGTTCCAGTTCATACTGGCCCTCACTTTAATACAGTGTGGTGTGTGTGTGCGGATGTTTGTGCAGAATTTCTCAAGGAAAGGAAGAGAGCTGCAGGGTAAAATCTGAGTGTTCACTAAGGATTTAGATGTGGGCCCAGGACTGTACCCACAGCAGGGTGCCTGCTGTCCTCGGCTCAGCAGGGGTGGCTGTTCCTCCTGGGAGGCCTGTGAGCATGTGTAACCCCTCCCACCAGAACACTGCCCTGAGTCCCAGAGGGGCAGACATGTGCCTTCCCTGCCCTGTGCCCCAGTGTAGAGCCTGTCCAGCCCAGTCGCCTTGGGCTTGCTGGTGTCCTGTACATGTTGTCACCATGGCCTCTGAGCAGCAGGCCATACCCACCCTGTGGCTCAAGCTCCCATACTTAACATGGAGCAGTGGACAGTGCAGAAGAAACATTGCTGAGGACCAAGTCTGTCTACGACATGAGCTATTGGCCTCCCTAGGGAGCATTCAGGTAGGACTCCTTGGACCCACATGTAGGAATCAGATTCTTTTTACATTTTTACTCATTTGAGAGAGAATGGTAGAGCCCCATCTGCTTTTGAACAACCGGCAGAGGACCAGGTTGAAGCCAGGAGCTGAAAATCACCAGGAAGCTGGGATCCAGAGGGGAACAGTGTCTAGGATGCTGTCCAGCAGAGGACGCTGACCAGTGTAGGCACAGGCTGGTTGCTTTCCCTCTCAGGGTGGTAATGGCAAGTTTTCTATCAAACCAGTTCTGTGAGTCCAGGTGACCACCATCCAGCCATCCCATGAGGCCCACCCTTCCTGAGCAGGGCAAGCCACTGCCCAGCCCGCTTCAGGCGTTTCCTTGACTCTGGGTTGGACTCTGTGAGATGCCTGCAGCTCTTTGGAATCTGCCGTGCACTTCCCATCCAGCACTGAGTAACAAGCATTGAACCAGGCCATCCAGAGCAACCTCACCTGAGGTGAGGGACAAGCCCCTGGCTTCCTTTTTCCCCTCCCAGCTGGAAGGAGGAGCCCTGGTGTGCCTGGCAGTGGTCAGAGACCAGGCTAGATCACAGCTCAAGGCAGAGCTGGGAGTTATGCAACTGAGGAGCCTTTGTGTGTGTTACTGAGCTGCAGGAGCCCAGGCAGGGGAGACAGGGTGCGTGTGTGTGTGTGTGTGGTGCTGAGCTGGGGGAGATGGGGCAAGGCTGCTAGCGGGAGTCTGTGCATTCCTATCTGGTATGTATGTTACGTGTGCTTATGAGTGTGAGGCATGAATATCTATAGTGTGTGTTACCTGTGTTGTGCACATACAGTTGTGTGTGTGGTAGCATGTGAATGTGTATGTATATGTGTGTGGATGTGTTGAGATGGATATGGACAGCTCACCAAGTAAACCCGCGCAGCGCCCTTGCGGGTGCTATCCCAGCCTGGCTGCAGAGGAAGCTTCAGTCTCTGATGGAGTCGTGGGTGCCTGCTCCTGCTGGGCCTCACTTCATGGTGCCCAGGTCTCCCTGGAAGGAGAAGCCAGGGATGCCTTTGCTGTGATGCCGAGTGTTGGTTCCTTGCGCTCTGGGTTCTTGTGACATCACGAAGGGAGGATGGAACTGTGTCCTCTCCCTGTGTACCCCTAAATGACTAGCCGAGGGCTAGGGGTTACCAAGGCACAGAGGCGTGCTCATGTATAGCACCACCCCCGCTCAGCTCCAGTGACACCAACTGGGCCACAGCTGCTGTCCTACCCTCCCTCAATCACAGCTCTTTAGGTCCTGTCCAGACGAGACACGCATCTCTGGGTGGGTAGAGCCAGGATGGTCCTGTGGGACAGACCCCTGCACCCAGGTTAATTTCCACCCTTGCTCTCCCTGGTCCCAGCTCACTGTAGAAGCACACAGAACCAGAGACATGGACACAATGGCCATGACAACAGCTGAGAGGAAGCATGTCCATCAGGTGCCCCGCGTGTGCGTGTAGACAGCTGTGGGCCTGGCCAGAACACAGCCTTATGCCTTCTCTGCCTCACAGGATGTCATGTGTGGCAGGAGCTCCCAACAGGCCACCCAGGGAGTCAGAGGAGCCCTTGCATGCATTGCAGGTACTCAGCTGGTCGTCCTTATCCTCATAGTCACAGCCTGCTTTTGTGTTTTCATCCCTTGGCTGCCTCACAGCTGGAAGCCCGTTGTCACGATGAATCCTTCCTGCAGGTCCTGGTGTCAGATGGGAGACTCTGGGGCTGTGGCTGGAAGGACACACCCATGGCTCTCTGTGTATCCTTCCCACGGATCACTGTCTCAGGTGGGAGACCCTCTGGGGCTAGGACACGCCCTCTGTGCACCTTCCCTGAGCAGGTTACAGCCTGCCTATCTGGGGTATGAGGCCTCCAGGCTGTCTTGTCACAGGACCTCGTTTCAGGAGCACAAGCTGTGGGGACTCTGCTCTGCCTGTGCATCCTGGGCACAGCAGGTTCTGCTCCAGCTGCCAATGCACGATGACTGCTCCTTCTTGCTGTAGCCACTGGCCAAGACCTGCTGAGAAGGGTGGGTGTTGACCCCCAGGGGTCTGCATCCGTAGATGGGAACCTGCCAGGTCTGAAGCAATAGCCACGGTGAGGACCCTTTGGGAAGTGGGGACATGGGCCGTGGCTACCCCAGCCTTTCTGGCAGTGTGCTTGGTCACTGGAGAGAAGACTTAAGCAGACCCCGGCACTGCCTGGCTGTGCGGCCCGTCCTCCGTCCTAGAGTCCTATCCTATCCCAGCCATAGCTATACATGGCACAGCCCACAAGTGGCCATTTGCTTTCACCCAGGAAGTCCTCCCAAGCAACTGTGGATTATAGGTGCAGGCAGTGTCCCCACTTGTCCACTCAAGAGCCAGTTCACTAGCAGTGCTGCCAAATGGGGTATCTGATGAGCAGGCTCTCCATGACCCCTCAAAGGCCAGGCACAAGGGTGGTAGCTGAGGCCACAGGTTACCTAGCTGCTCCCTTCTCCCTACTCACTGTGCCTATAGAGCTGGACACTCTGACCTGTAGGCCTAGGAGTTTGACTTTCCATTTTGTATTGAACATGGGCCCCAACATCATCTTAGTCTGCTGGGGAAGTGCCAGGACCTGGAGGGATTGAAAAGGAGGCCGTATTACAACTTGTAAACACTACCCAACTTTTACCCAGTGCTACTGCTTTCTTTGTGCATTGCCCCAAGGACGCTTACTGGCTGCTGTCCCTACATGATAATATCTCCAGGCCCTGCACTTCCCCTGGCCCGTCATAGCTCGTAAGCTCCATCCCCTCGTGGAAAACAAGCTTCAAGAACCTTACCTTTTTACTAATCAGTTCCATGCCACATTCCTCTCCAGCCAGTCCAATCATGCTGTCTCAAGCTCTACTCCACACCAT